CAACTCCTTCCTCCTCCCGTGCTTCCCGATCTCTCTTCCTCGTGAATAACACCACCCTGTCGCACCACCAGGCGCGCCCGCAGGCTGGCCTGGCCGTCTCGCCTTGGACCCCTTGCCAAATAAGATCCCAGAGGTGAAGGTTCCCACACCTACACGGAAAGAAGCGGGCGCTTTTTTTCAAATGTGCCTCTCAACTTCAGGAGGGAAAACACACAGACACAATTACTCGTCGGTTCCAAGGAAAATATGGGACAATATGGGAAGTGGTGGGGAAGACAAGTATCCCGGCAAAGCAACCTAACAGTGATGAGTATAAGCATATCTGGAAGCATTCCCCTTAAGATTCAGGTGAGAATTCAGTTGTAGAATTCTGCTTCTCTCCTATTCGCAATGACAGTCGCGGTGGAAACGGCCTTAGGATCCAATGGAATCCTAAGGATCCCTAGGGATTCCTAAGGCATCCTTAGGAATCCATAGGAATCCTTAGGAAACCTTAGGCATCCTTAGGAATCCTGATTCCTAGGCATTCCTATGGATTCCTAAGCATTCCTGGGGAATCCTAAGGATTCCTACCTGAGCCTGCCTCGGCCTCAGCCTCAGCCTGCCTCAGCCTCAGCCTGCCTCAGCCTCAGCCTCAGCCTCAGCCTCAGCCTCAGCCTCAGCCTGCCTCAGCATCAGCCTCAGCCTCAGCCTGCGTCGGCTTGCCTCGGCCTCAGCCTGCATCAGCCTCAGCCTCAGCCTCAGCCTGCCTCAGCCTCAGCCTCAGCCTGCCTCAGCCTCAGCCTGCATCATCCTCAGCCTCAGCCTGCCTCAGCCGCAGCCTGCCTCAGCCTCAGCCACAGCCTCAGCCTCAGCCTGCCTCGGCCTCAGCCTCAGCCTCAGCCTGCCTCAGCCTCAGCGTCAGCCTCAGCCTCAGCCTGCCTCGGCCTCAGCCTCAGCCTCAGCCTGCCTCAGCCTCAGCGTCAGCCTCTCAGCCTCAGCCTGCCTCAGCCTCAGCCTCAGCGTCGGCCTCAGCCTGCGTCAGCCTCAGCCTCAGCCTGCCTCAGCCTCAGCCTGCCTCAGCCTAAGCCTCAGCCTGCCTCGGCGTCCCTCAGCCTCAGCCTCAGCCTGCCTCGGCCTCAGCCTGCCTCGGCCTCGACCTGCCTCAGCTCGGGCATTCAAAATATGGCACAGGACTGGTGTTATGGGAACACGAAGATCACGAAGTGTCCCACAATTGGCTCCGGGCAATCAAAATATGGTACATGAATGGTGTTCTGGGAAGACGAAGAACACGAAGTGGCCTACAGTTGGCTCCGGACATTCAAAATGTGGCCTGGGAATGGTGTTCTGGGAAGACGAAGAACACGAAGTTGGCTCCGGGCATTCAAAATGTGGCCTGGGAGTGGTGTTCTGGGAAGACGAAGAACACGAAGTGGCCTACAGTTGACTCCGGGCATTCAAAATTTGGCCTGGGAATGGCGTTTTGGGAACACTGTTCCCAGGAATCTATAGGAATCTATGGGAATCTATAGGAATCTATAGGAGTCCTGGGGAGTCCCCAGAGTCTCCCGGCACCCGCCCAGACCCCCCTTGGGAGTCAAGATGCCCTCTTTTGACCCCACTAGAAACTTATCAGTCTTCGCTGTTAGGTAAAAACCCTAAAAATATTTGAAAATATGGGGGATCCTGTTATGTGTATTTATTTGTGTTTCCTGGGGCCCCTTCACAACTGAGCTTAGCACAGCGCACACTCCACTTCGAAGCTTCCAACTGCTGCACAGCCGGAGGCCACTAGCTGTTCAAGCTGAGACAGCCGCGCGAGCGGTCATCCACACATCTTACGGTGAGGGCATTGGATGAGGAAACATTCGACGGTGAGGACATTGGATTGCTGGCTCTTGCGAATCGACGCTAGATCGATGCTTAATCGACGCTGCCCGACTCTAGCCGACACTAAGCCGACGCTGTCTGATTGACTACGGTGTGGGCATGGGATAAGGAAGCCTTAGATGATGAATCCAGGGTCTGGAGGCCAGTGGAACTCCAATCGTGGGTTGGCCATGGATATCACCGTCGCCCTCATCAGATAAGGACCCCTCCAGGGTCTGAAGCCTCCTGTGCACGTTCCTTAACGAACGCCCCCACCGCATCTCAATCGTAGACCTGTGCAACGGTTACCGGGTGGGGGTCGTTTCGTTCCCACATGGCGCTCTCCCCTGACAGTTCGCTAAGACTGCGCGACCAGAAACAAAAAAACAAGTCTCCACGGATGGGGGGCGGCCTCTGTTCAAACCAGGGTTGTCGGTGGGGGTTTCCTTGAATTTCCTCACTTCGACAAGCTTAGGATGAATCTCCTTGAATCCCACCAGCCCTTTGGGCGTGAGTGGTTTAGAGAGCCCGCTCTGTTCTCAACCCCCTTCTTCCCCTTCGGGGAGGGGTTTACCCCTCCCCCTACCCCCTCCCCCTGGGCCTGGAGAGGGCGTTCCGCGGGTGGTTGGGGGGGTCTTTTTCGACCCCTGGGAGGGCTAGAATTCGACACCCCTCACGAGGATTCTGGCCCCGACGGGGGGAGGGAGAAAAATGCTCGCCTCTTCTTTGAAGCGAAAATCATTGATTGTACTAAGGTTTTGGCCCGATTTTGGCCTTCTGAGGGGGCAGCGCTAATTAAAGCTCCCCTCTTCGTAGAAGCCAAAATCATTGATTTTACTAGGGTTTTGGCCCCAGTTTGGCCTTCTGAGGGGGCAGCGCTTATTGAAGCTCCCCTCTTCTTTGATCGATTTCCTCCAAGATGGCCCCAAGAAGCGCCCAGGAGGCACCAAGAGGCCCCAAGATGGCCCCAAGAGGCCCCCAGGAGGCCCCCAAGAGGATCCCAAACGGCCCAAAGAGGCCCCCCCGAGGCACCCAAGACGCCGAAAAGCCCCTCAGGACGACCCTCTACTCGCCTGGGCGTCGTTTCTGGACGGGCTGGTGGGGATACGCGAAGCGTAAAGAATTTCCTCATTTCCTCGCTTCGTCCTTGAATTTCCTTCCCTGAGTTCCCTCACAACAATTAATTCGAGGATGGAGGGCGGTTCCCTTTCACAATACTCTCCCACGTGAACTGCTGGCCCTGTGGGCGTTCGTCTCGCAAGGGGGCGCTTTTGACGAAGTGAAAACAGGCTAGTCTTTGCAGGGACGAATGAAGAAATTTGAGACGGGGGGGGGCGCGTTTTGAAGAATCCGTAATTGATTGGTTGACTCTGGTCCTCCTTCCTTTTCCTCACCGTCCTCCTCTCCATCCTCCGGTGTCTCATCCCTCTTCCCCTTCTCCCCCTCCTCCTGTCCCGCCCCCCCGAAATCTGCCCCTTGCCCGTTCCTGGTGCGCGCTGTTGGCAAGACTCCCGTGGCGGATCGTGCTGTGGCCGCGAAGGGGCCCCGGGAGTTTTGCGACGTCCGCCCGACGACATTGATCCTCCAACGCCGAACAGCGGTTTGCAATCGCTTCGCGGCTGGAGGGGTGATTGGTTTAACACATGCCGCTCTCGCCCCAGCGCCGCGCGCACTCGTGCGAAAAGTGCGCAACGGCTTCCAGGATGGAGGCCGGCTCCTTTCATAGAGGCGGTTAGCGCCCAAGCGCCGCGCGCAGTCGTTTTTCAAGGTCGCAGCAGCTTCCAATAAGTATGGTGGATCCTTTCTCGAAGGCGGCTCTCGCCGCATCGTCACTCACGTGTTGCCTTGCAGCACGTGCGCGGATGGGGCCCGCGCCGTTCTGAAAGTGGGGCTCTCGCTCGACGTCGCGTCGCGCACGCTCGTACTGAGAGAGTGCACAGGGCTTCAGGGGTGAATGGATCGTCAGTTTGAGAATGTGACTACGTCCCACTACAGCAGACACGCTCTGCAAAAGTTTGAGGCCTCGGTGGCGGTTCCTTCTCAAAGTGGCTTTCTCGCCTGAGCGCCACGCGCATTCGTCTTGACATCCTGCAGCCGAGGCGAGGAATCAGGACAGGTCGGTTCCAAAATGGTTGGGTTGCCCAAGCCCTGCGCACATTCGTTTTCTCTGAATACAACATGTGTCTTCTAAGGGTGAATGACAGCTTTGTTCGGCACGGGATAATCGTTTAAGATTTCGGTCCTTTTGAAAGACGGATGTGGACCTAACATATAGCACTGCGAGAATCCAGGGCTGCTCTTCTTAAAAATGGATGATCGCGTGGTATTTCCTCGAACTGCATGGCCGCACGTGCGAGGCCGGTCCTTCTTCAACAAGGTGTATCGCAAGACACCCCGGTAAGCTACGTGATCGATTTCCTCGCGGTCTGACGCGAGCCAACAGGATGTAAGGCAATTATTTTTCAAAGCAGGACTCTCGCTAGAATTGCAGCTCAGCTGCGCTGGTCTTTCTTGAGGAGTGCGTCTTGCAATGTAAACGACACCTTGTAGTGACGTCTGAAGAGGGAAAAGGAAATAGAGGCTAAACTGGTCCATCGCTGCATACTGGGCTTACTCGGTTCCTCCTCCTCCTCCTCCTCCTCCTCCTCCTCCTCATTATGTTCCCTGGCGCTGGCGTGTCGGGCCTTTGGGTCCCTCTCTGGGTTTCTTCCTCCTCCAATGACGGCGAAGTGGCCGAGCCTGGCCAAGGCCCGAAGCGGCAAGCAAAGCAGGCGCGGTGCTACTGGCTTGCGAGCCCCACTACTGTTGTTTACGTGCGTACCTCTGAATATGGCGGGGTGTTGTCTGTGCACATGTCACGCTTGCTTTGCTGGGCAGCCCAATTGGAAACGAATGCCTTTGCAGTGGCCGGGAATCTTAAGTTGTACCAACAGCTCGGATTTCACAATTGGCGCTGGTATGTTCAGGGGTAAACGCTCCTGACGAGCGGAATGCGACATGTGTGGTCCGTCATTGTTTGCCGCCCGCCAGTTGGGATCTTTGAAACCGAGCGCGTTCTCAAGTCAAATACGTTGTGCAATTTTGCAACCGATGGCTCCGACACATACGAATGGCCACTGCTACACCGAAGCCCTGCGATAGGCGAAACTGTTAGCCAGCGTGGGCTCCAAACAATGTTTCTCGCGAGCTATGATTTGCCATGTTTGACCTGGTGTGCAACGTGTGCGGTGGAATCTATGTGATACAATATACGCAGATGTGTGTATGTATATATATACATATATACATACATATACATATATACACATATGCGTATGGTGCATTCGGTGTTGTGCAATCCATGTGGGGCAACGTATGTGCTGCAATCTATGTGTTGCACCGCGCAGTTGCGGATGAAAGTGAGGGGGCGGGCGCGGGGTGATTCGCGGCTGTGTCGCGGGTGGGTTGGGTTGGGTCGCGGGTGGGTCGCGGGTGGGCCGCTGGTGGTTCGTGGCCGGGCCGCGCGGCGGGTCGCTGGGTAGGTCGCGGGCAAGTCGCGGCGGGTCGCGGGCGGGTTGTCCCTGCTCCATCTTCCTCCTCTCTCATGCTGTCGTCGCTATGTTTAGATATCTCGGGAGATCCTCCCCTCCGGGTGACTACAGAACAAAGGATGCTGCTACTCTCCAAGCTTCTCGGGGGGGGCCATATGACTAGAATTTGCAAGGATAGCCCAGCCCTGGCGACGAGGGCTCGCCAAGACGAGCAGCGGTATCGGTACACGTTACCTCTCTGACTCCCTCCTACCTGCCTCCTCCCTCCCTCCACCTCCCCACTCCCCTGGTCCATTGGCAGTTCCTTGGTTTCGCCACGACTCACTGGAGGTACTGTTCAATGGCGGCTCGCTCGCAGTTATCCCATGGCGGCCTCACCTGATAATTTGTTCAATGATCCCTCCTCCCCAGGTGCACTGGAGGACGATTCGGTGGCAACTCATGGGAGCCGCCCGTGCCATCTTGCTGGATCTTGAGAAGCGACGCTAGATCGATGCTTAATCGACGCTACCCGACTCTAGCCGACACTAAGCCGACGCTGTCTGATTGACTACGGTGTGGGCATGGGATAATGAAACCTTAGAAAAGGAATCCAGGGTCTGGAAGCCAGTGGAACTCAAATCGTGGATCGGCCATGGATATCACCGCCGCCCTCATTGGATAAGGAATCCTCCAGGGTCTGGCGCCTCCTGGGACTATTCCTCAGCAGACGCCTCCACCGTACCAGACGCTGGTCAACGCGAGCGCACTATAAAAAGGTACTTACGAGGGTGTACGGGGCTCCTATGACTCGCGACCGAAGGGCGAGGGGGGCAGAGAACGAAGCAGCCATACGCCAAAAACGCGTGGGCAAGGAAAACTAGAGCGACGTGCCAAATGCGCGCGAGAGCAGATGATTACGCGCGCGCCAAACGCGCGCCTACCTGGCCTGGACGCGCCACACACAGTTGGGGGTAGAGGTGGGGGCATAAGCGCCGACACGAGCAGTTAAGACATCGGAGGCCCGCGCGGACCTCTTGGATCAGCGCTCCCTCCCCCCTCACCGCCCCCCCCCCCCTCCCGCCACCTCCCCCCCCTCCTCCCCCCCCCTCCCCCACCCCCCCCCCTCCCTCCCCCCTCCCCGCCCCCCCCCCTCCCTCCCCATCCCCTCCCTCCCCCCTCCCTGGCGCGCCGAGCGCGCCAGGGGCGGCGCCGGAGGCGACGCCAGGAGGGTCCGGCGCAGCTCCCCAGACATCCGGCCGCTCCATGTTCTTCGATGCGTGGGCCTTTGAGGTCTGGGCCGCGACCCGAAGGCCGGCTGTTCGTCCCGATTCGATATTTGACGGTCCCGAAGCTCGGCGGGGGCACCGAGAGGCCGAAAAGTCCGCGCGGAACCCCAGAACTGTGCTTGTGCCACTGCCTGGCCCCCGAAGAGGGCTGTCGGGGCGCGCAAGGAGGTATGGGAGAGGGGGGGGGGGCTTCTTCGGACACAAGGCCCGCGCCTTCTAAGAAACACCGGTGCTTCTAAAAATCGTGGAGACGTACGACTCGGGTACGGGGGACTCGGGATGGCCTGACGGGACCATCATGAAAATGACGAGACCCACTCTGAAATTTGATGCGAGCTCCCGCTGCAGACATCCCACGAAAACAGGACCGTCAAAATTCAGGACGCGCTCGTCCAAAAAAAGCGTCGGCAAACTGGAGTTCCGGTTTACTCGAGTCTTACGTTTCCCCGAAGAAGCCTTCCCCCGTCCCCCGCCTTCTACGAAGCAGGGGTGCTTCTAAGAAGCCTTCCCCTCTCCCACTCCTCCTGCTTCCTGTTTCCTAATGGCATGAGGGTGCGTCGCACGCTGCCGCTTCCAACCCAGGTGGGCCAGTCGGCCACCCCTGGGGGAGCAGGGGGCATGCCCTCCTCCTCCTCCTCCTCCACCTCCTCCTCTCTCCTCCTCCTCCTCCTCCTCCTCACCTCCATCTCCTCCTTCCTCCTCCTCCTCCTCCGCCTCCTCCTCCTCCTCCTCCTCCATCTCGTCCTCCTCCTCTCCACCCTCCTCCTCCTCCTCTTCCTCCTCCTCCTCCTCCTCCTCCTCCTCCTCCTCCCCCTCCTCCTCCTCATCATCATCACATCATCATCATCATCATCATCATCATCATCATCATCATCATCATCAACATCATCATCATCATCATCATCATCATTCATCATCATCATCATCATCATCATCATCCGCCTTCCCCTCCTCCTTCACCTCCTCCCCTCCCTCCTCCTCCTTCCTCCCCTCCTCCTCCACCTCCTCCTCCACCTCCTCCTCTCCACCTCCTCCTCCTCCACCTCCTCCTCCTCCTCCTCCTCCTCCTCCTCCCTCCTCCTCCTCCCTCCTCCTCCTCCTCCTCCTCCTCCCTCCTCCTCCTCCTCCTCCTCCTCCTCCTCCTCCTCCTCCCCTCCTCCTCCTCCCCTCCTCGGCGCGCCCCCCGAAGACGGGGCGCGGTGAGACGCTCCTCCGCCTGCCGATGGGCCGCCGCCTCGTGCCTCTCCAGCTCCTGCGCCCCGACTGGGCGGGGGCCGGGGCCGGGGCTCGCTCGGCGGCAGGCGGGCGGGGCGGCAGCGGCTAAGAGGACGAGGAGGAGGAGGAGGAGGAGGAGGGAGGAGGAGGAGGAGGAGAGGAGGAGAGGAGAAGCGAGGAGGAGGAGGAGGAGGAGAGAGGAGGGAGGAGAGGAGGAGGAGGAGGAGGAGGAAGAGGAGGAAGAGGAGGAAGAGGAGGCGGCGGCCGACGAAAGTGGCTAAGGTTGTGCCGAGGAGACAGGGATGCAAAGGAACTCTTGGGCCTGTCGTTACCATGCGGGTCGACCGTAAGAGATGTACCCAAACAGTTGGTATTACCCAGCGGTTCGGCCCGAAAGTACGCAGGGGATGCTCGCAGGTCGACGAACATTCTACGTACTTTTTTGTTCGTACGTTCGACGAAGCGAAGCAGCTTGGGGGTAATTCAGTTCTGCAGCCACTGGGTCCTGTAGGCAGTCGGAGGAGGAGGAGGAGGAGGAGGAGGAGGAGGAGGAGGAGGAAGAGGGAGGGAGGAGGAGGGAGGAGGAGGGGGGAGGAGGGAGGAGGGAGGAGGGAGGAGGGAGGAGTGGGTCCTGCAGGAAAGGGGTCCTGGCCTCTCGCCGTTTTCGGCTTTCCCGCTTTGTTGGGCCCTCCGCGGGCCCTTTCCGGACCCCCCCTTGTTTCGCCCACGGGGCGGAGACGACGAGGACGAGGCGAGGGCCCTTCTTCCATCCCCGCTCCACTGCGCAGTTCCCCCCTTCGCCTTCGTGGTTTTCGAAGCACTTCGCTCTCGACGAGGCGAGAAAACCTCCAAGAGCCAGCGGAAGCACTGGATCGATCCGTGAGGGCCCCTGGGCCATAAATTAGGCGGAGCCGCCAGAAATGGAAGCAAGGAAGCAATGCCTGGATCTCAGGGCTGATCTCAAAGCATGAGAGGAAATTTCCTGGAGCAGCATGGGGCAAGAAGGAAATAGGACGGGCAGGAGGAGGAGACGAGGGGCCGGAGGAGAGGAGAAGGTACGGGACAAGCTAGGTGCGCTCGCGCCATATCTGACCTCCTACCCTCCCCCCATCCCTTTGTGCTGAGGGCTTATCTAACCGCCCACGCGTGTCACAGCGGACCTGGAATTCCAGGAAGGACCCGAATTGCACCATGCACAATCGGACATGGGGAGCTGCGTGCATTGGAAGGGGAAGTGGCGGATGAACAGGAGGATGAGTAGGAGTCGGAAAAAGAGGAGGCGGATGAGGAATAAGGATGACGAGGGCAAACAGCAGCAGCAAGAGCTGGAGCAGAAAGAGCGGGAGGAGCAGGCGGAGGAGGGGGGCGACAACGATGAGGAAAGACTCGAATCCAGAAAGGAGGCGGATGTGGAATAAGGATGACGAGAACAAGCAGCAGCAGCAGGAGCTGGAGTGGAAGGAACGGGAGGAGCAGGCGGAGGAGGGGGGCGACAACGATGAGGAAAGACTCGACTCCAGAAATGTGGCCCTCGCTGGGGCAAGAGGGGGATCCTGAACGACGGGAGCCAAGCGTCGATCCTCCAATGAGGCCCCTGCCGTAGCAGCAGCACCTTATTGAAGGACCGGAAGCGGCGGGATTAGGCGAACACGTCCTTTCAAATCAAGTGTACAGGAGGAACGAGACGCGCAGGGCGCTGGCCACTCCCCGGCCATCTCCGGGGAAGCGGGGAGAGAGCACTCTTGTTGAGTTTTCGGGGGGGGGGGCGAGAGAGAGCGAACGCGCTGCCGTCGGATCCGGGGGTCCAGCCCTGAAGAGGCCGGGCGGCGCGGCGGGGCCTCGGTTTCCAGGTCAGACAGCACTTGTCACTATCCACGGCCTCTAACCCTCCTTTGCGCTGTCCTCCATGACGTCGCCGGCGCTGCGGTTGAGAAGGGGGGGGGGAAAGGCAGGGGCCTCGGCCCGCAGGTCACACAGCAATTGTCAGCGAGCGAAGAAAGGTATAAAATAAACGTTCCGCCGTCGGGGACACCTGCCCCTGGGCGGCTGGAAAGTTTGTACCCCTACGGTGCCACCGTAAGGGTACAAACTTTCCAGCCGCCCAGGGGCAGGCGCCTCCGACAGCGAAAAAGTTTATGTTACACCGTTTTTTTCGCCCGTTAAAATTGTCAGTGTCCGCGGCCTCTTCCCATCGTCTGCGCTGTCCTCCGTGACGCCGCCGGAGCTGCGGCGGGGGAGGAGGGGCGGGGGAGGCATGGGGCCCCGCGGCCAGCGCCCGAGCGGTCTGTCGCCCACCGCCCCGGCGCCCAGGAAGACATCCTTCTGGCTGGGCTTAAGTCGGGCGTGTCCCCCTTAATGGGGGGCTTTTCGACGAAAAATAGACGATGCCCCCCAACACACTCCAAAATGGCCCCCCCCAAAAAATAATCAAAGACTAGTCCCCAGAAAGTTGTCTGACTATTTTTGAATGTCCCCCCGGTAGAGGGGCAGGCCCGACCTGCCGCTGGGCGCGCCCCCGCCGCGCGCGGCGCGCCCGGGGAAGGCGAACGCCAGCCGACACCGCCCGGCCACGGCGGACGCCCGACCCACGACTTGAGCAGGGACCGACCGTCCCGGCATTCCTATGGTCATGCCACGAAGTGTTCCTAGAACCCCAAAAGGTTCTAAGAACCAAAACAGTGTTCTTAGAACATAAACCCGATGTCTTAAAACAAGACAGACTCCGCCATACTTGGGCGCCCGAGTTATCCGGGGTAACTCGGGTCCGGGGTAACTCGGGTTTGGGTTCCCGAAAAAACGAACCCGAGTTATCCCTGACCCGAGTTACCCCTGATGATTCGGGGCTCTGGACGCCCGAGTTATCCGGGGTAACTCGGGTCCGGGGTAACTCGGGTTCGGATTCCCGAAAAACGAACCCGAGTTATCCCTGACCCGAGTTACCCCTGATGATTCGGGGCTCTGACATACATGTTCTAAGAACATTTCGTGGGAACCACAAAAGGTTCTTAGAACATTTATTTTTTGGTGGGGCTATAGGCCAGCCGGGGCGCTTCGCCACTGCTTGAACGACTGGCCGCGTGGAGGGCGCGGGGAGGAGAGACGCGCCGGCACCCCTTCGGGGGGTGCGCGCTCGGGGAGGGGAAGGGGGAAGAGAAAGGGAGGGGAAGGGGGAAGAGAAAGGAGGAGGGGGGGGGGGAGGGAAGGGAAGGGAGGAAGGGGGGAGGAAGGGAAAAGAGGACGCCCTGGCACCCATCTGGAGGGGGGGAAAGAGGACGGGGACGGGAGGGGCCGATCGGATCGGAACGGAGCGACCGCGCAGACGGGCTTCTCAAAAACCACAGCGCAGGCGAGGGCTATCGACTCGGAGGGGGCGTGGGGCGGGGGAGGAGGGGGGGAGAATAACAAGAAAACAAAACCAGCCGAATAATCATAAGCATAACAACAATAATACTAATACTAATAAAAAAAATCCAAATAATACTCAGAAGAACAACCCTGGTCATAATAATAATAGTGATGATTACTCCAGTGCGACCCTACCTAGGTGTTGGAGCCCCTAGGAAAGCAGCATTAGTAGTAACGGTAAACGCCGTCCTCCTCCTTCTCCTCATCGTCGTAGTTGCCTCGGGTTTTGCTTGTTTTTGCTTGTGCTTGGTTTTGTTTTTGCTTTGCCTTCGCACACACACGCATGTTTTTGCATTCGCTCATCGGGTGGGCTCTCTGATCGTACTGTTGCACATTGCTTTTGCTTTGCCTTTCTTTTGCTTTGCTTCTGCGTTTGCTTTGCTTTGCTTTGCGTTGCTAGTGTTTTGCTTTGCTGTTGCTGATGGTGCTTTGCCTTTGCTTTGCTGTTATGCTATGCTATGCTATGCTATGCTGCACTATGCTATGCTATGATATGCTATGCTATGCTGCGCTATGCTGCGCTATGATATGCTGCGCTAGGCTGCGCTATGTTATGCTAGACTATGGTGTGCTATGATATGCTGCGCTATGCTATGCTATGCTGTGCTATGTCGCGCTATGCTATGCTATGCTATGATATGTTGCGTTATGGTATGCTATGCTGGGCTATGCTATGACATGCTAAGCTAAGCTGAGCTACAGATACGCGAAGCTAATATGAAGCTAAGCAAAGCTAAGCTAAACTAAGCTCAGATGAGATAAGCAACGCTAAGCTAAGGGGACGCAGCTGGGGGAACCGCGGAGCGGATCCTGGGGGAACCGCCCGGGGCGTTTTGCACTGCCCGGCCCCTTTAAGCAAAGAGGGTAAGAACCCTTCTAGGCAGAGCCTAGGTAGGGAATAATACCATAATGCAGATGTTCAAAACTAATAATGATAATATGAGTAACAAACAGAGGAACAAGACGATTAACAATAACATGATCGCATCAATATATAGAAAGACGCAGGAGGATACCGATTCTATGATTTTGAACCATCAGGTGCTCGTGCCTGCTTTGAGGCGGGCGGAGGCAGAGAAGGCCCGAGGCGGGGGAGGCGGGGGAGAAGAATCACGTGAATACTACTACTACTACTACTACTACTACGACGACGACGACGACGACGACGACGACGACGACGACGACGACGACGACGACGACGACGACGACGACGAGACGACGACGACACGAC